GCACTATGTTAGGGATGAGGGAGCCCCCACCCACAGGCTGGGTCTTGTGCCCAAGCTCACAGAGCTCACACACAGTGAAATCCGGACTTGAATCCAGACCATCCTTTCTGACTCCGGATTCTTGGTGACCAGGCACTAAGCCCTCCAAGGCTGCTGAGATCCCAGGACAGGGCAGGTCCTGTGTATTCTACTCCCCAAGACACAGGAGCGGCAGGATTCCTCTGATGGCACGGTGACCTTGACTCAACCACACGCAGTGTCCCCCCGGTTGGAGGTGGGATCCCCTCGGCTTCCCAGGGTCTGCAAGACCTCCTTGCTCTCAGAGTTTGCTCCAGGTCCCCAGGCTCCTAGGCATCCATGGACATCCCAGGATGGCCCTACCTTTGCAGTCCTACGCTGCAGTGCTCCCCACGTGGGCTGTTTCTCCCCAGGCTGCACCCCCTTCAGGGGGAGGACCCCACAGAACCTGCTCCAGGCTCTCCACTTGCACTTCTGTCCTCAGAATTTCCAGTACAGCCCTGCTCCCTCCCATGTCCGTTACTTCGCAGAGGCTGTTCCCCGGTTTTGAAGCCCGGTATCCCTGCGTCTCTTTTTCTCCAATGTTTACTTCTTTAGTGTCTGTCACTTTTTGGTTTGCAACCTTGATAAATTCCCTCCTTCTGCTTGAGTTTTCTCACCTGAGAAGCAGAGGCAACAATAAAGGTGCTATGGAGACGAATCGAGAAAATGCACACAACACACTTAGAACATTAGAGTTACCGTGCAACCTAAGGGCTCTTCTCCCAGTCCAGAAGGAATTACAAGGCAGAGTCAGAAGTCGACTGAGCAAAAGTATTTCTCGCAGAGAGAAAATAGAAAGTAACACTTATCGGAAAGAAAAAGCAGAAAGCCCCTGGGCAATAAACCCAGGAGGGGACTGGAGCTGACCGGCTGGTCTCCACACAAACTCTTTGCCTAGGGGTTTTTATATACACAAATGTCTCAGCCAAGCTGAGCTTAACCTATGGGATTACAAGTAGGAAAGTCTGATTTAGAAGCGGCCAATAGGAGTTCGAGGTGTGTGGCTACTTTTGCAAGCATGGTTAATTGTAACTTTTCTAAAATTAGCAGAACAAAGGTCCCCTTCAGAGGAGTACAAACAGAGCCTTAGTGTTACTGGTTGTCTGTGACCTTGTTTTATTGTATTTTATAGGCAAGAAAATTCCTCCCATCTAATAAAGCCTTTGTTTGTTGAGCCCCTGGAGCCCTGGCCTTGGCCGTCCTGCCCTTCCCTGAGTTATCCAACTCCTTCTAGGGCTTGGCCTGGCCTGGCTGCCTGTCCTGTCTGCAGGACTACTATACCAGGACACCCCCCAGCAACACACAGGGCCAGTATCCCTCTAGACATCTTCTGACCTTTCCACAAGGCCCTGCTCATCCTCAGCATTTTCGAGGACTCTTTGTGTTTTGCTGGAACTGATGTTGAGATGACTGTGGGGTGCCCCTAAACCTCACCAAATGGAAGGAGCCTAAGCCCAACCACAGCTGCATGGAGGGCTCATGGCTCACTCTTCCCAGGTCTTCTGTTATTTCCCTGTTTCACTTAGCACCTAATAAGTGCTCCTGAAGAGGTCACTGTTGTGATTAGCATCCCCCTTTAGGTCTGAGTATAGACATCACTTCTCCCAGGAAGCCTTCTTTAAATATCTGTCTTTTTCAGGTCAAAGCCACTTACCCTGCCCCAGACCCCACAAATCCTGTGAAAGTCAATCACCTGCAGTGTTGTCATAACTGATTGCTCTGCTCTTCCCTGGGAGTGGAGATGCCAGAATCTGCCTGGTTTACCCCGGGATCCTTTACACCTAACACACTGCCTGGCACATTGTCGAAAATCAATAGTACTAGTGACCCAGAAAAATGAGGGAACACCCAAGTGGCATCAGTTCTCTGTGCAGCTGAGTCACGGGGCCATCAGAAGTTTCTCGACAGTGATAATGAGGGTTTTCATCTGCGCTAAGAAGTTCTTTCTCTCTCCCGTGCTAGCCTGCCTTCCCTTCTCCCAGAGAGCCCCAGCCCAGAACTTGGCATCCCCTGCTGATCGGCACCTTCTCCTCCCTTCCTACCTTATTCTGCAGAATGTGTGCTCCCTCCAACCGGCTGCTCTTGGAGCTTCATCAAAGGACCCCGATTTCCCTCCTGCTGTCCAGGCCCATTAGACACTTTCTGGCTGCCAACAGGGGGACACTCTTCCCTGCCCTGGCCAGGCCCCACCCTGGCAGAGAAGCCAGAGCCAGGCCCTCCTGGAACCACACACAACATTCACACAAGTACAGATAATCCATGCGGACGGATGGGAACCCAGGCAAGGATAATCCGAAGCCAGCAGAGGATCGGGAAGTCATTGCTGTTTGGCTTTGAAGTGTATCCAATGAACTTCTTTGTCCTCCTCCCACAGATTTAACTTCTTAATCCTCTTCCACTTCTGCTAATATTGAAATGAGTTTGCCCGCTCTACACACAGGGGGATGCCCCCCAGGATGTGCTGAGCAGCTGCAGGGAGCAGCTTCTTGTCCAAAGCTGGGCAACACAATGAGCCAGTCTGGCTGGGACCCAAGGCGCTGATGCAGTGCCCCTAGGGACAAACCCTGAGAGGCCACTGGTGGCTCCCGGGTCAGCTAAGCTCCTGTTCTGCTGTCTGCCATTGGAACCCACTGGCTGCGCCTCGGAGGAAGCCAAGACCAGCTCCTCCCTTCCACACACACTCGTGCACACATGCGTATACACACATGTGGTCTCACATGAGCCAGAGCCAGGGCTCAAACTCACACTGGGCCCGGGTTTATAATGGGAGATAGCTACAACCCCACAGTGTAGCAGGTACAGAGGGACAGAGGGACAGAGAAGGACAAGAGCCTCCACCAGCAATAAAGCCAGTCCTGAGCTTTGAGAATGAAAACCGTCCAGCTGCAGAGGCCAGCCAGAGAGGTCCAGGGCAGACACAGTGATCCCATGACTCCCGAGGTCCTGATGACCTCAGACCTTGACAGGAAGAGGAGCCTTCCAACTCCTCCCCTCTGTTCCTGACTCCATCTGTCCTGGGCTCCACTCAGTCACTCGGCAAAGCTTCATTGGAGCCCTACAGTGGACAGGTCCCAGGAGAGGCCCTGAGCCCTGTCAGCCCCAGCCTCCAGCCCCGGGCAAAGCAGGCAGTGCGCATGACCTGAACGGGGTGCTAACATTGGGACTACACCGGGGGAGCCCCTGCTCCTCTCAGAATCACCTGCAACAGATGCAGGCACCAGGCCACACTGCACTAACGGGGTGGGCTTAGTTCCTGGACACAGGAGAAGCCTATCCTGTCTCGGCGGGAACCTGGAAGTGTCTTCACAAAGCCATTCTCCAAAAACAAGGACTGGGGCCTCCTTTTCCTATCAGATGAAACCCATCCCTAACAACTCCATTCTCCTTCAAATCCTTTGTGAGACAAGATAATGCAGACTTCCGTGCAAGACAGGTGTGTGTTTACCACTTGTGTGTGCCACCTGGAAAGCTATGGTGTGACACTGGGCAGAGTCCCCTTGGGTCCTCAGTCTTCTCATCTGTGAAATGGGTCAGTGGTGATATAAAGGCATTGCTGAAAGATCATTCATTCATTCATTCATTCAGGAAATCATCAAGGGTACAGGGTTTGTAGTAGGTAGTGTTTCCTGGGGCCCAGTGATATCTTTCAGGGAACTTGTGTTCCCTTTGGTCATTGGTCATTGAGTCTAGATATGGTCTCTCTAAGAACCTTCCCTAACAATGTAGCCATCAAGGCAGCCACTGAAGCCTTGGAGTATAAAAGAGGAACCCTAAATTACGCTTCTCCAGAGAAGCAGAACCAGTAAGGTAAAAGACAGAGGCAGAAGTGGAGAAACAGATGGACGGATGTTACAGAATTAGTTCAAAAAGTCATGAAGGCTGCAAGTCTGGAGTGTATCGATCAGGCTGAAAACTCAGGCATTTCTATGTTACAGTTTGCAATCCACCGGAAACTTTAGCTTTTGCTGTTAAAACCTTCAGGTGATTAGATGAGACCCACCTACAGTTACCCCATTGTTAAGAGCAATCAACTTCACTTAAAGTCTACTGATGTGCAGTGTTAATCACTTCTATAAAATATCCTCACAGAAATAACTAGGTTGGTGTTTGAACAAACAATGGGGCACCAGGGACTGGTCAGCCTAGCGTAGACAGTCTCCCCATTGCAAACCCTACTGCCCAACCCTAGGAATCATCTTAAAGCACTGCCAACAGCATAGGTTTGGAAGTTTTCTGTTCTGTGTGGGTTTTTTTTTTTTTTTTGAGAATGAAACAAAGATAAACAATAAAATGAGACAAGACAAAATAATGGGAATGATATTGGATTACAAAAACAAGACAGTCGGACACCAGCCATAGTAACTGTAATGCACATTGTTAGGTTCTAAATAGATGCTCAGGCCACCAGACGCAGGCACACAAAGTCAATCAAACAGCACAGGCACTAAGTTGCCATCGTTTCAGAAATCTCAGGTGTGAGGCTTCCAATTTCCTCCATGCCTGTGTCTCCTGGAAGTCTTCTGGGTGACATACAGGTGTGCAAAACTAAATTATACATAAGCACTAAGTTGTCTGTTTACTTCAGTTGCTACCATTTCAGAGATTGTAGGTGTGTGACTTCTAATTTCTTTTGTGTCCATGTCTTCTGGATGTGTTCTGGGTGGCTGGAGGTTGGAGACTGCGCCCTGTTCCTTTGTCTTGACATCTTTCTGTGTTCCGCTGAGGCAGCTGGTTGCTGAGTCCTGGGTGTTTCCCACACTGGCGGTCTGTCCCACAGTGCAGGGATTGGGGTAAGCACCTGGGTTCCTCCAATCCAAGCTTCTGGGGTGGCAGAGAGGTGTGGGGCAGCTGCTCAGCGGTGTTCCCCTGAGGGCAGCCAAACCCCGGGAGCATCACTTCCTCTCCTCCGCGTCCAGGGTGGCAGGCTCATGGTGGGGGGAAGTTCTTTCTTTCTAATGAATTGACTATTACATTTCTAAAGTTCTGAAATGACCAACAGATCGTGGGATGATACTGCTTCAGGCTCCTGCTTGAAACCACCAGCTTCAGAAAACTGCCAGCCTTGGTGCAGGGCCACTCTGTGTGGTTCTTGGGGGAAGTATTTTCCCCAGGCAACGGACTAAGTGATCAAGGAACCCATGTGAGTGGCCAGATAAGCAGTCAGGGAAGAGTCCTTCTCAGAGGGCCATTGAGACAATCAGCCCCCTGGACCTCTGCCAACATGCTCTTTCAAATTCATCACTAGTCACTATCAACCATGAATACTTTCTTCTGATGCAACCCAGATCTTGAGACTGTACTGTCCTTGGGGTTGCCACAAGGCTTCTTCGAATTAGAGAAGAAAGGGTTTTTCAGCTTGGTGAAATATCCTCCACTCTACCTACCCTGTCTATGCTGGCCTTTGATTTATACCCACCCAAGTCACTGAGGGAAGGGGCAGGAGAAAGCATGAGGCCCTGCGCCGTGCGAGGGACCTGCACTGGTCAGGAACAGGCTGGGAGAGGCTGCAGGGACAAACCTGCCTGGAGGTCTCAGGGACCCAACACAACAAAGGTCCCTTTCTCACTAATGGTGCACGTTGGTGTAGGTTGGCAGGTGGCTCTGTTGCAATTACTCAGAGGCCTGGACTGATAGAGGTATCCTCACTTTGAGATGGTGTTACCCCGAATTCCAGGGCCTCCTTGGAAGGGCACAGGACAGTATAGAAAATTCACAAGGTTTTTAAATGCCTTGGACTAGAAGTGGCATTTGTTCCGTCTCCTCACCTTCTATTGGCTGGGAAAGTCACATGACCTCACCCAGCCGTTAAGAATTCTGGGAAATGTAGTCACCTGCACATCCAGCAAGGAGTGGAGAACAGATCAGCCATTCTCTGGCAAAGCCCTTTTTCACATACAAGTATTGCCCGCTATCAATACTCAATAGTATGAATTGTGGTTGTTTAACAGACTAAGGGAGCAAGGGCCTCTCCCACCATCAAACGCAGGTGCTTGAGGGTAGAGGTTTCCAAGAGCTATTTTTGACAGCCTCGAAATCTTTGTAACTTCCTTCCTGGTTTTGACCTGGGTTCTGAATCAGTGTTCTCAATCTGGGTACACAACGGGAGGATTCCCCCAAGCTTTAGCTATGAACTAAACACAAAGTAGAAAACAGAATACTGAATTATTTGCTTTGTTAAAAAAAATTCATAACAAGTAGAGTGGGCTCTAGGCTCACCCTGGCAGGATGCAGAGGGAAGGGAACCCATAGTGGGGCGCTTCCCTCCGAATTTACATCTCCCCAGACAAGGGCTGCGAACCCCTGCCCTGAGCAGCACGGTTTTACAGTCAAAAGCCTTCTGCAAAGTGCAGAGAACTTTGTGACCACTGGGGGGGGGGACCGCAACAGTCATGTCACAGAACAGGCCTGAGGGCGTCTGGTCCCCCCTGGGAGGCAGCAGCCTGGTGGGGAGTCAGATGGATCTGAGACAGAACCCAGCTCTGCTCCGCCAGTGTCTCTGAGCTTTGATTTCTCCAGGGAAGAAGGTACCCACACAGCCCACCTCCCCCAGGATGGGGAGGGACACAGCAAAACAGGAGGAGGTGTGTGAGCCTCGAGCAGGTGCCTGGATGTCTCTCTTGCCCTCGCCTTGTCTGCCTAATGGGCAACTGGCACGGGGCACGGAGGTGTCGGTGCCTGTCATTAAGAATGCAGAGCGAGATGCTGCATCTGCCTTGGCCTGTCAGGAGACGTTTAAAAGGCTGTTTTGAAAAAGAAACGGAAGTGAGTTACATATTCAAGTACAGGAGCTTGGTTAAATAAACTCATTCAGACTGATGAAGATTGTGCCACCAAATGTTTACAAGGAATTTGAAATAGCAAAGGAAATGTTTATGACACAATTTGCCAAGAAAAAAAGGGGGGCGCAATATGGTATACACAAAGTGGGATCAACCATGCAAACACAGGGGCCTGGGGCCTGGGAAAAAGTCTTTTTGAAATATCAACCTCTACTTGGATTATGGCTGTTGGGTGAGATGCTATTCTTTCCTTTACAGATTGTGTTTAATTTTGTGTTCATTTTATGATGCTATTTCAATTTTTCTCATATTTCATTTCCTGTTAAAAATAGAACAAGTTAAAAAAATTTTTAAAAATAGAACAAGTTATTAGAAAAATATTCCTTTTTAAAAAAATGTAAATGTGGAGTTTCCCTAGAAGTGTGGCCCAGCATGGAAGCCGTGACCCCTGGGGGAGGCAGAGCTAACCTTTGTATCCTGCCTTGCTGGTTAGTAGCTGGGTGATCTCAGGCAAGTCATTCGACTCTCAGAGGTCCAAGATGCTGAGGGACACTTGGGGTGAGAAGTCGCACCTCCTGGAGGACCCTCCTGAGGCACCTGGCAGGTCCTGGCACAAAGTAGCTTCCCACAGCATGAGGCAGGGGTGCCCTTTCTTGCCTTCTCTGTGTCCTGCGGGCATTTCCGGTGAGGTGGTGCTGGGAACAGGGTCGCAGTCTCTCACCCAAGACAGACAGGCAGGGCCTGCCCCCCCCTCCTCCCACCCCCTGCAGCCTGAGGGGTGTCCAGCGTCTCCGGCTCCTGAAACTTGATTTCCACTCTCCGTGCAAATCACGAAGTGGTGCTGTCCACAGCTTCTTCTTCAAAGGGACTTAAGAGCCTTTGAAGTCCAGGTCGTAGTAAGCAGAGTGGCCGGGCAAGATGACCTTGAGGGAGCCCTGCCAGCTCGAGGGGCCGCCATTCCCTTCTCCTCTTTCATCTCAGTCCCCGGAAGGAACCTGGCTGGTGGAAGGGGCCGCTGGCTGGGGACAACCTTCCTCCGCTTCGGCTGCTGGGACCCCTGCCCAACCAGCACTCTCCGGAAGCTTCCTGAACCTCACAGACCACGCCCCACCCTGCCCCTCGGGTCTCTGCTGGGTTCTTTGCAGGGCACAGCTGCATGGCAAGTGGTGGCATCCTCTCGCCTCTGAGTTCCTAGAAGGCATAGACTGGGTCTTAAACATCTTCACATTCCTGAGTCTGAGGCAGGGTCTGGTAGGGAGAAGATACTCATGAGATGTTTGCTGAGTGCATTAATCCCACTTACTCTGGACATGCTACAGTATCTCCTCAGTAAGCCAGTGCTGAGCTGTGGCTCCTCACGAGGGACAGAGTACTTATGGAGAGGGTGTCTCTGTGCAGGCACCCCCTTAGCCTTTTATTGTCACCCACCCTTTAACTGTCAAAAGTATCCTAAGGGTAGGTAAAAGTTGTCACTCCCATTTCACAGATGGGGAAACTGAGGCCAGGAGAGTTTAAATGACTTGCCAAGCAAGTGGCAGACTGGAGACTCAACCCTTCACTATGGCTCTAAGTTTGGGCTTTCCCACTGGCCTCTCTATTACTTCCAGGTCAAAGTTCAGAGGTACATGTCAAGACTTTATTTTACTTATCTCAATGCCGAGGATCAAGCCCAGGGCATCTTGTGTGCTGGGTAAGCTCTCTACCCCTCAGCTAAATCCCCAGCTTCCCTGATAACATTTCTATTTTGAGGCAGGATCTTTCTATGTAGTTCAGATTGGCCTGGACTCACCATGTAGCCCATGCTAGCCTCAAACTCACAGCAATTCTCCCCGGACTCCCCAGTGCTTGGATGACAGGCATACGCCACTATGCCCTGCACCCCAATAATTTCACGATTTCCCTTTGAAGACACTTAGTGGGTGAAATATATACATGTGGTGTATGTGTAAAGATTTTACTGAAGTGTGGTTGACACCATAAAATTCACCATTTTAAGCACACAAAGGGGTGATTTTTGGTAAATTTTACAGAGTTGTTCAACAATCATCACAACCTAATTTCAGAAAATTTCTATCATCCTAAAATACCAGTAACAATCACCCGGTTCCCATTCCCAGCCCCCGTGACCGCGCTCAGCTTCCTGTTCCACTTCCTTGGCTCACTTTGCAGCTCAGGCTGGTCTTGAACTTGCAACGATCCTCCTGCCTCGGCCTCCCGAGTGCTGGGATTACAGGAGTGCACCACCATGCCCGGCTGTCTTTGGACTTTTCTTTTAAAACACACAGTCCTACAGCATGCACTCTTTCTTGTCTGGCTTTTCTCACTTGGATAGTGTTTCTGAGGTCCATCCACACTGTAGCATCTACCAGGGTTTATGGTTTTTTTTTTTTTTTTAACTCTCAGAGATGATTTCATCAAGCAGATACACTGTATTCATGTGTCCTTGATCCTCCCTGAAGGACATTTGTGTTGTTTCTATTTGGGGGCTCCTAGGCCTCATAACACTGCTGTGAACAAGTCTCTGGGGGAGCTTAACACTTTCATCTCTGGAAGACCGGAAATGCCAGGTTATATGACAAACATTATGCTTCACTTTTTCAAACCAGCTCCAAAGTGGCTGTGCCTTGTGCATGCCCACCAGCAACCCCGGGGGTGCCATTTACTCCAAGTCCTTGCCAAAGCTTGGCTTGGCCCAGAGTTTTTTTTCATTTTCCCAGTGCTGTTTAAATCGCCTTTCTGATGGGTGTGAGGAAGTGTCTCATTGTGGTTTTAATTTAACTTTCTCTGATGACTAACAAAGCTAAGCATCTTTTCCTGTGCTTATTGCCATTTGGTTATCTTCTTTGGCGAAGTATGTATTAAAACCTTCTTCCCATTCTTAATTGGGTTATTTGTCTTCTCATTGTTGAATTATGAAAGCCTGTTTGTCCTCCTAAAACCACATCCTCATAATTGCTTTGGAGAGAAGAGAGGGGCTTACGTGGAAAAGCCTTCTATGCCAGGCTCCGGACTCATCCTCACCAGGGGAAGGGCCATGGCGTGCATGGATCGAAATACAGCAAACAAAGCATCCGGCGCGTAGTAGGTGCTCATCTTTCCCTAATGGAGCTCTGCACTGGGCTGAGCACCATGGCTGGACCTGGGGGGGAGGGGGAGAGCGGGGAGCCAAATCCCTGGTGATGGAGCTCACATTCCAGAGAGGGAAAAGGACCATACGAAATAACAAAACAAAATGAACAGACCATGTCACGTCAGGGAGTAGTGCGAGAAAAATATAGCAAGGTAAAAGGGCAAAGTG